GTCAGATGTGACTAAGGAACCGATAATGCCCACCTAAAGGAATTCTGAACTCATTGTAAACAAACGCTACAAACATAGAAACAACATTAACTAAGCATTGTTTTTGTCCTTCTTTTCATAGCGAAACACCGCATTAAACACCCACAAAGTCTCATGAGGAAACCTGTATACAATCAGCACTAAATTGAAATAAACACTCCACTCCGTTTGAAGGCCCTGGTAACTTAGATCCAGATTCAGTTCCCTAACACGAACCCTACTGGAAAAAAGAGCGTCGTATCCTGCATAACCTTTTTGAAAGCCCTGGGCGATCTTTCTTGCAAAGGGTCCAAAGTACCGATATCGTAGAATGTAGAGTTTCTATATTAGGAATTACTATTATGATTTGGGGAAGCCTTCCCCATAACAGTACATAGGACCCTTTGGGCTTTGGGTCTTGAAGCGAGGACACCTCCAGGATGGGAAGCGCGAAAGCCAAGGATTTCCCGCTGGAAGTTCCTGGAACGCTTGCCCGTTCAAATGTTGTTTAGACGAGGGCTTACAAGGGTTACAGAAAAGGCTCATGGGGCTTCATTTTCTTTCTGACCTCCTGTTTCGGAACTTCATCTAAGTTGCCACGATACGGATCTAAAACAACCATGCACCTGCCTGGCTACGACTGCTGAATAAGCTTTCTGCTGCGGGGGCGGCGGGGACAGGGCCTTTGCGGGTTTCGGCGTCTCTGGCTTTGGAGGCTTGGGAACCGCCAACCTTCAGGGGCATACCTTAGGGATGTAAGGACTCATAGAATAAGGCTGTTGGACCCAAAGACCATACTATATAAGGCTGTTGGGCTATCTTGATCCCTAGGGCATAGACGGATAAACACTTACTTGAACGTCATGCTAAACCCTGCATGGGCCCTAATCCCAAGATCCTGACCCTAATAAACCGTAAGCGTGACCCTAAACCCTAAACAAACCCTAGATTAGCCTCAAGACTAAACCCTGAAGACTACATAGTACCCCCAACTACCCTCTATCCTAGTTTAAAAGCACCCACTATTGAACGCCACTGCCGATTGTGAGGCTTGAACTGTTGGTAGAAGATTGTCGAGATGAGCTTACGTGCAAAGTCGCGAGGATGGGACCTCGAATTTGTTAGGACGACAGTAGAAGCCCAAAAGTTGGAAACCCCCTAGCCTCAGTCCTTAAGAGTAACGTATAGGGAATCCCAGCACTATTTGTCCTTCATCGGGTATCCAACTTTTTGACGTTTCTATAAGGGTTTTAAATTTAGGGCTTGAGAGTTTGGGCGTACTGTAAGAGTTCCTTTGATACAGCCAGGGTTAGGGCACTATCTTAGAGATTCAGGATTTAGGGCTGGTTTTTATAATGCCTGCTAGGGCCAAACGTATAGGGATTAGGGTTTAGGGATCTCAATAACTCGTCGTTTCAAAATATGCTCCGCAGAGGAACTGAAATATGTACTTGAAGACAGCTTCGGTGAAGCTATTGCTGACGATAAGAAGCTTCGGCTTCTTGTCGTTCCCATTGCCGGTGCTGACATGCTTCTCAATACATCTGACTGCTTACAGTTCACCTGATTTCTCTAACTGGGAGCTTTTCTGAGATTTAGAAACCACTGGGCCCTTCTTTTCGGGTCCTGAAAGTGAAGATCCTATTGTTTAAGTTTCGACATTGGGGCCCCCATCCCCTTCTGAAGCTCCTGTATCATATAGGGTCTTTTTTTGGACTAGGGATTTGGAGGGTATACTTATGTTCAGGAATTCCGGGGAAGGCTCCTGTGTTACACCCTGAGTCCAGCCTGTAGTGAGACACAGGTGCTGCCGCCGCCCGAGCACCTGAACTCTGACTTGACTGGCTCGGAATGCTGTTGTAACAGTGAAGTATACATGACAGTCATATCTTATACCACACCTGTTTGAAACGTGTATCTTTATGTGTCTGCTCTTCTGCCAGTTGCTTCTTGGCCTCCCACATATATATATATATATATATATGTAGATGACTATGACTACAGGTACAAACAATGGAACTCTACTGTAGGGTAAGCTGTCGAGGTCGCTAGCAGAATTTCTTCGAGCCGGATGGTCGTGGTGGTGATGATGTGCACAAGCAGAACACATCAGTACGACCTCACAGCGCCTCGCATTTGCCTGCGAATGACAACCCAACGATTTCCTCACAGGCCCTCTCTCGTAGACGATCCTAGGCCCAAGCCTCAAAAACTCGGACCTAAACCCCTGAGCCCAAAACTCAGAACCCAATGTGGCCCTGAAGGAACACTGCTGACAGCGAAAATGCTGACGTCGAGTGCGATCCGGACTAACAAAGGCGTGTTTGCGTAGAGGATTAGGGGCTAGGGGTTTGGGGTCTTAGGGTTTACGGTTCAGGTCTAAGGGTTGAGGGTCTACCCCTGAAGTACTTTATGTCCCGGAACCATGGAACCATAAGCTTGAAAGCCTACTTCAAGTCCAAAGCAAACAGACGTCTCCTTTTGGTTCCGAAGGGGTGCAGATGCCAATCGAGTCCTAGGTCTTGATGTAGCCTCTGCAAGATGGAAGGTAGAATAGAAGAAGGGGCGGAGAAAGTTCGGACCCAAACTACGGATTTCTTCGGCTCTTTACTGAAAGGATACACCTCGAAGTACAGAGGGAACATTACTCTCAGTTGGGTATATCGCATAAATTTGAGGGCGAAGGTATCCTGGAACCGAGAAAAACGTGGTCCCTTGTAATGGGTATCCACTAATGTAAGAGGGTAGTGACAACCGACAAGATACGCGGTCGCTTGCATCCTCGACTTGGAGATGAGACAGGGCTGCGTCAAGAGTGTTCTTGGTGGTTCAGACATTGGGCCACATCGTGCCAGGCTCGTCTCAGACTTGACCCCTACTCGTTCAGGTTTACGTGCACATGTGTATATATATATATATACACACATATGTATGTACACAGAACTGAAATGCCCATGAACACACAGACCCACACAAACGTATGATTCGAGCTTCGTCCTTGAATGTGTCGTACGATGCTATCCCAGACCTCCCACCTGCTGGTCCGCGTGATAAAACTCTGGCTTGCTCAGCATCAGTGAGGACCACGGTTCACTGCGAAACATCAGATAGCTAGATACTTCTGATGGGAGGCCAAAAGGGGGGGGGGTTTAAGATTCTTGGGGTAGGGATTCCTTACTATGAACCCTATTATGGGAACCCTAATCCCTACTAAACCCCCATAGGCTAAAACCCCTTGTGGCCTCCTATGACTAGACCCAAGAGTAGCCTAGGAATAAAAAGGGTGCCCTATTTGGGTTAAAGGTGGTTATAAGGGAACCTGAACCCCCAAAAAGGGAATAAGGGCCTACTCTAGGTCCTAGATGAACTTCAACCCTCATCCCGGAACCCGGAGCTGAAACCGAAAAAGCGTTGAGGGTTGGGCAAATGGGAAGCATGCTGAGTGCTATAGGAGTGCCAAGGCCAAGCCCTAAGCAATGAACCCGAAACCCCCCCGAAAACCCTGAACCCTAGATCCCTGAACCGAACCCTAGATCCCTAAACCAACTGGTCACCTTCCGTGGTCCTCACTCCCCCTTCCTTGAGGGAAGGCTCGATGATATCTCTCGTGTCCACAACCAATCCGTATCCCTATCTTCAACCCTAAACACTACCTACTAGGATGCCCAGTAACCTAGGCATAAAAACCGGGCTCCCTTTTCCGTATGGGGTGTTTCAATTTCAACGGGACCCTAAGCCACAAAAAGGGAAAAAGGGCCTAAGGGGAGGCCTAGCCTATGAAGCCTTTGTGGCTTTGGGGTTGTCCGCTGGAATGGGTCAGGGTTTAGAGGTCTACGGCTTAGGTCTCCCTCTGTGTCCTCCTGAATCCTACTGTACACCGTGACCGAGAAGCTAAATCCTATTCCTGAGCTGAAAAGTTGCCTCAGAACTCCACATCCCTAATCCCTAAACTGCTGAGCCTTCCCAAGCTCCATGGGCTCCTTCAGCTTGGCTGTATTCGAGCACATAAAAGGCGCAAACCGGCAGTGCCCAGGTACACGCTTTATAGGGTCTAGGGTTCAGCGGTGTCGAAGTTGACCGGTTAGGGTTTAGGAAATGCATAGCTTTGGGGGCTCTGTAGGTTTTCAGGGTTTAGGGTTTAGGGCACCCTAAACCCTGAGCCCTAAACCCAGAAAGGAGCTTTGTAAGGTGAAGGTCGTAAAAGAGTAGCCCAGAGGGTCCAAGTACCCAAATAGTAGGGTTTCAGGTCCCCAAATCCATACTCTGAATGGGTTTTGCACCTTGAAACCCTACTATTTGGGTACTTGGACCCTTAGGGTGAACCCTAAATCCTAAACTCTTGGGCCGACTATAGGTTCCCTTTATAAGGAAATAAGGGAAATTAAAAATTCTGCCAAAGCACAACCCAGTTTATAAGGTGAAGGTCCTAAAAGAGTAGATGTGTTGCAGTCGAGGCTTCGGGTCCTCTGAGGGCTTGGATGTCCGGGGCTACTTCCAGTCGCATCCACACTCCGGAGCCTTGGGGTTTGTCAAATAGGAATTATGGGCGCCTTAGTTCTATCATTTTATGGGCGAATTAGTTGTATTATTTTAAGCTATATCAAGAATATTGTTGGTCATCATTCCTGCTTCTGTAGTGTCGAGGTGCTCTGAGAAATCACGTGCCGGAGAAAGGCCCTCCAATCAACATCTGGCGTCGATCGCAAAGCCGTCGTAAGTCCTGCCTGTACATACTGTAGGGCCTGCAAAAAGAGCGAAACTCAATTGCTGAGTATCACGCAAGGCTCTTGGACGAGCTATTCTAGATCCCCAAGCCTCCCAAACCCGCACTCTATCGTTTAAAACTCACCCTACGTCCCCTAGCTTAACTTCGATCTGCAAGGATCTGGATCAAATCTAGCCGCTGTACAATGGCGTCCCACATACACTTGTGGACTTCTAGTCATTACAATGTACCGACAACCCTAAACCTAAAGCAGCGCTCATCTGTTCCCGCGCTTCGCGCGGCCTGCTGCAGACGGCCCTGTGTAGGTGCCTGCGGGTGGCAGTAGTGGCGACTGTAGCGTCGTGGAAGCAGTAGTAGTAGTAGTAGTCGTAGTAGTAGTAGTAGTAGTAGTAGTAGTAGTAGTAGTAGTAGCAGTAGTGGTAGCAGCAGTAGTAGTAGTAGTAGTAGTAGCAGCAGGAGTACTAGTAGTAGTAGTAGTAGTAGTAGTAGTAGTAGTAGTAGTAGTAGTAGTAGTAGTAGTAGTAGTAGTAGTAGTAGTAGTAGTGGTAGTAGTAGTGAATGTTGTCACAGTAGCAATAGCCTAGTACCCTAGATCCGAAATTGTGGATCCTCAGCTTTACAACGAAGAAACCCTCGATCAGACTCCGACAAGTGTCCCTATTCAAATGCTTCCCCGAGCCCAGACGAAAGAACCCATGATCCGAAACACCGGATCCTTGAACCCTGAATCCTAAACACAAAAACCCAAAATCCTGTAAAATGCGATTAACATCGTTTAAGCCCGTATACCCTAAACCCTAGACCCTCTACACCGCTCCAATACCCCAGCCGGGATGCCCGAGTAGGCCAGGTCGGACCCCACGCTGATCCGCCTTTCCTTGGGCTCGACTCTTTGAGAAGGCAATGGCCTACCTGGACCCTCAAGAACCTACCTTTTTAGGGTTCCTTACTATGGTTTCCTTATATAGGTTCTCAGAAGGGTAGGCTATTTGGGGTTAAGGTAAGGGTTGTATGCAGCTTTCTGCGGGTTGCATACGGTTTTAGTTTATTAGGGTTGAACCGGGCTGTGTAAGGGTTGCAATCAGGGGCATGAACAGTTGCACTAGGGGGCTACGGGTTTAGAGCTTGGGGCTTAGGAGTTTGAGGCTTCGGTGTGTATGGCCTAACGGTTTAAGGGTTTACGGGTTCATGATTTCGGGTATGAACATGTATGTATGCATCCATGCAGCCCTAACCATAAATCCGAGATCCAGATCTCTTCAGCCCAAAATCAGCCAATCCCTAAACGGCCCTAACCCTCAGGCCCTAAACATCTAAATATCCCCAAGCCCTAAATACCGTGAACCGCTCAGATCCCCCAGATCCCCATAGGCCAACATGTTTTACAAAAAAAAACCTACGAAAACTATGAAGGCCCTATGGCAGCTGATCAAGACATATGTACCAGTGCCGCAAGAGCCATAAGTAAGTTCCTTTTGTCGTTGAGATGTCCCGAGCAGGAGGCATATTCACATTGGTTCCTCCTGGAACAGGACCTCTACAACTTTGGAATCCTAAACCCTAACCCCTAGCCCCCCATACCGGTTTAAGCTGGGCACTGATTTCTGTGGGCCCACATTTTGGCCGCCCTTGCCTTTCACGAGGACTTTGTTGACCTTACAAGACGGATGATCGCTTCGCACCGCAAACGCTTAGGGCATATGGTCTGGAGGTTAGGTTGTAAGAGTTGGCGTGTATACGGTTCAAGGCGTTGGGCTTTGGGTCTAGGTTCAGCGGGTTTACCGTTGAGAGTCATCTTTTTTCATGGTTACTCAGAGGAATCGGTTTTCGCTTTTTGTTGACGTCCGGAAATAGGGATGATCGCTCCATTACCGTCTTTGTCGTTCGTCTTGCTAGCAATAGTTCTGCTGCTTGGGCAAGAACAGCGCATGCACATCGTTATCGCCAGCAGTGCCATTAACGTCAGCGACTCCTCAAACCCGAAACCCAAAACCTTAAAGACAAACCCCCAAACCCTGTAAAACCTGACACACCAAACCAAAGCCGAAACCGTAGACCCCTTTGAACCTGTAGCCATAAAGCCAGAACCCAGAGGGTCCAAGTACCCAAATAGTAGGGTTTCAGGTCCCAAAATCCATACTCTGAATGGTTTTTGCACCTTGAAACCCTACTATTTGGGTACTTGGACCCTTAGGGTGAACCCTAAATCCTAAACTCTTGGGCCGACTATAGGTTCCCTTTATAAGGAAATAAGGGAAATTTTTGGCCAGAATGTCTGAACCCTAACCACTGGAAAGTGTCTTCGGAGCCTCTGGGTCAACACAGATGCGTTGCGGTCACGCTTCGGGCTTGAGGGCTTAGGCTTCACCTTAAACCCTGAATAACCTACCATTTTATAGGGTTCCTTATAATGGCTTCCTTATAAGGGTCCTTAAAAAGGTAGGTTATTCAGGGTTAAGGTATGCTTTCCGGGTTAGGTTTTGCAGCTCGGGACGTAGAAGGCTGCCTTGCGCAGATGATTGTGAGCGCGGGGTTGCCATTTCAATAGCCATCATTGCGATGACGATTGCTTTGGGCGGGTCATTACAGGATACATGTTTATACACATTCAGAAACAAACACACGTTTGTACATAATCAAACGCACAAAGACACATGGAATGCATAATTACAAAAAAAGCAGTTAAGCAACTAAAGCATTAACAACCACTCACACACATACGTGTATGTGCGCATATACATATACATAAGCACAGCATAGAAACTAAACATACATGAATACATGCATACATACATACGTACATCCTTGCAAGCATACATGCATATATAGTTACACGCACACATATATTTGTATATGTTCGTTCATGTATTTGTGCTTGTAAATGCACACATAGATACCGCTACTTTATTGGCTTAGACCTGTGACTTCCCAGCGTTCGGGGTTGAGTACTATGTCGCCGCGCTGAATGTTGCAGCGCGTCGCAGTCGCTCCGTCAAGTATACTACTTGGAGGTTCATGCGGAGTTATAAGTCGGGGTATAAGTAAGGTAACTGTAGGTATAACCCATACTAGGGGACTTTCTAACCCCGCTTATAACTACCCATGAACCTTCAAGTAGGGTTTACAGGGCTGAAGCCTCAGGGTAAGTTTCAGGTTTGGGGTGTAATTAGCCGAGTGTAAGGACTAAGGTATCTGTCACATACATCTATGGTTTACACGAGTACCTAGAGGCTCCATAGTGGTTCCTTTTATTTTTTTTTTGGGGGGGGGGGGGGGGGGGGGGTCATATTCAGAATCCTATGAGGTAATCCCCAAAAGGAACACTGCTATGGAGCCTATGGGTATGCACATGTACACAATATGGTTGAATCACAGTCTGTCTGAGCGAGTGTTGGCGTGCGTACAATATGCCTCATATGGACGCTGCCGCTGTTCCACTGTGGACGGTGGCCTGCATGCATATATATATATATATATATATATATATATATTTAAATATATAAACATATATATATATATATATATATATGTGAACATACAGATATTATACATATCCATATGTAAACTGCATATACATATACGCAAACATACTGTAACATACATCAACATATATACATACATATATACATACATATATATATATATATGTATGTACGTATGTATGTATGTATGTATGTATGTCGACATGCGCGGATGCTCGTCCAGATGTTTCATGCATACTTGGATAGCTGCCAGGCTGTACTTATGCTCGCCACAAAGCACTGCATGAGTCCCTGACCTTGGTCGTGCCCTTCGCACCCTTGGGCACCCCTCGCACCGTCGTCGTCCCGGGAACGACTGCTTGCAAATCCTGGGTGGCGGATTGGTGCAGGCATGTAGGTTTGCGGTTGGAGTTGGTTTAGGGATACTTTAGCACTTGAGTGTTTTGGACCCTATCAGAGCGTGGCATGGCACACAAAGCCGATTTCCGAAGTAGTTGCGAGATACTCGCATACGAAGTCGAGAAGCCGGAAACTTGTCAGGAGTAGCCATACATGTGACGACTTCGCTGCTCGTTCGTCGTCTGAGCGGTATTGTTCAGGTGATTCTTGGCTGCTTTATTCATTCACAGGGCATCCTCCGCACGATGGGATTTTGGTGCATGGCTGGCTCGGACCCTACCTGTGGTCGTCAGTTTAGCGCCTGTGGGGCCAAACGAAGCAAACACAGGAACTACAGTGGAGCCATGTCAATGTGGAGACTATGGGCACGGCCTAAGGCAAGCAAATCGTTTCCGCTGGCCGTCGGGCAGATAGGGGACAAACTTGTAGGCAAACACGGGAACGGGGTGTCTTGAAAACAAGGGCGCCATTTCGGGATGTCGCCATAACGCGAGGAAAAAAAGGAATTCCACTCAGAGTCTATGCATCCGAACCCCGCAGTTTGTCAAACTACCGAATGTCTCTTGTGGTGTACGAAGACCCTGTTCAGGTTTGAGACCAGCCGCAGTTCCTGAGCCACCGGAAACCAGCCCAAGAGCTTAAGCCCTGACAATCTGAACCTAAACCCCTACAGAAACCCATCCTGACCCGCATGCCCAAGAAACTCCATACCTAGACCTAAACCCCTCAACAAAATCCGTGCAAATGCCCTAAACCTGAAAAACCACTGACCACCACCTACCAACAGCACAACTAGCACTTTGAAGCGGTTTAGGGTTTCTGGGGTGTTTCGGTTTTGCAAACCCTAAGACTCTAGACATTACCATACATCCTCTTTAACGATGCCGGAGCACCCCGTCGTAGGAGTCAGATGGGCCTCCCGGAACGACTTTTCTTCGCCTCGCTGAAGGCTAGGGCTTCGGCTTTCGGGGCCGCAGCTTCTGGGGTCTGCAGGGCTTCGGTTTAGGGGTTTAGGGTTCGTTGGTAATGCTGGGCGGCTTCTGGGCCTTCGGGTACCTTTGCAAACATGGATAGTCTCGGGGTTGTTTTTTGAAGCCTCCATGACACTTGTGCCCCGTGGAAGTGTCGGTGGTATTGGCGATGCAGGGTTTTGCAGCACCGTGTTCCATTTGCGATGGCTTGGAGGCGTGGTTCCTGGGGCCGAGATGTGCGCAGCAATAAAGCGGGCGGCGAATCTCGAAACTCAGGGCTTTGGGATGTCCAGGTTTGGCCCTTTCGGGGGGGGTTCCACTGGGTGTTGCTTCCGTTTCCTGAAAGTGATGCTAGGCATCGCTCCAGTACTTTCCGAGGCGTCTCCCGATACTCGTCCTCTGCTGAGAATCGTGCATCGGAGGCCCCCGTCTGGGGCCAAAAGACCTTTGTTTCAATTGCAACTTTGGTAGTAGTAGTAGTAGTAGTAGTAGCAGCAGTAGTAGTAGTAGTAGTAGTAGTAGGAAAGACATAACCGGCCTGGAGCCTCCCTGTCCCAGAAGGAAACCCCACCACAGTCAATCGAAACATGCGCTGGGCAAGACATGGCTGCACATGTCTGAATGGTCTGACTGCAGCACTAAGCAAGGTCTTAAAAAGGCAAGCGCGCTGGAGCCAAGCTCGACCTTATCTTTAGCAGCGTACAAGACACTCAACTGGACCATCTTCGAAGGAAGCAAAGACGAAAGACGAGCAGACTATGTCAAGGTCTGTCGGAGTTGCACTGTCAAACTCGGTGCCTGGGAGTCTGCTTGCGAATGCAGATCACATGAACAAGCTGCACCTGGCAGTGACAACTTGAATCGGCACTCAAACTGTCGCAAAACAACACTTTTGAAGTCGAAAATGCAAGCACTAACCATCCACAATCACTGATCTGACTCTCTGAAGTCCACTGCAGAGGGCCGACACATGTAGCATTGCTATCATCCTCCTTAGTACTTAGAACTAACAGGGCTATGGAGTGAACTATGCTACAAGTCTCCTGCACTGACGCTTAAGAGATGCCTCTGGGTGTACTGAGGATAGGCCCCATGCGAGCTGCAATGTGGCTACTAGTGGCCCTGAGGCTGCATGCTGAGCTGTCCGAGCAGCCGAAACAAATCGTGGATGCTGCTCGGCTGGGGTCGAAGCTGCTATAATCCTTCTGACATCTGACATTAAGTTGCATGCCGGGCTTGCGAGTCTAGGCTTTGAACTGAGCTAGGTAGCAGACTGTGCACATGTCTGCTTCAGAACATCCTACTCTACATGAGGCCCCAGCTGTCACACAATGTCTGGAGATGGCAACTCCTTCTAAGAGCCAGGCCTAGGAAACTAAGGCTCCGGCCTGGCTAACGACTCTCCGCTAGGCCACCAGCTGCCCACAAGTCTAAATGGGCTGTGAACTGGATCAAAGGCCCCGGCACTTAATCGCAAACGCAAAGACCAGTACCCGCGGGAGAAAGCGTCGACAGAGACAGGCGCAGGCCAAGACAAGTCTTCCGCTGACAAGTGCCAGGCAGGGCCGATGACAAGGCTCCAGCGGTGTCGAGACTTTCCAATAAGAAGATCCTAAGATCCGGCAAGGATGTGGCCTTAAGGGTCCAAAGTACCAAACACTTTGTATGGGTATATTATTTGGGTTAGGATAGTCTTAACAGGTTTAAGAAATTTCTCAGGTAGTATATGCTTGATTCATCATTAGGTACTTGGACCCGCTGGGTGGGGACATCGATGCAGAAGGCACATGACTCCAAGTCCGACAGAAGAGCGCGACGAAGGCTGGCCGTACACCAGAGATCCTCAGATCTGAAGGAAGCGCAAGCAGAAGGGGACGACTGGGTGGCAAAGGGCCCGACACCAAGTGTGCAGCTGTGACGGGCGCTGGCAAACGGAAGTTGCAAGTTTTGCTTTGCAGCAAGGAGGAGTCAACTCAGGCGAAGCCGACAAGGGGCCTCCGCACAGTGCTGAGAGTAGTCAGCTCCTACCACTGAGGTTATTGAGGGCTGGACGAAGGAAGACTCTCAGCTTGTCGCTAAACCCTGAATTCTCTTGCGCGGAGAGCGGTGAAGCTGAGGCAAGGCTTCACCGTCGGAATCAGAGCCCGGAGCTCGATAAGATTGCTGCTCACATCGAAGTCTCGTGGCTCTCAGCCTAAGATATGTGGGGATGACATGCCTTCAATGTCTACTTGGAGCACTTATAGGCTCCCATATAAACTGCATACACTTCTTAGAACCCCCCGGCCCCTATCTGATACTGAGTCGGAGAAATCCAGGCAATCTTGGCAGCAGCGCGAACTGAATCGAAAAGAAAAGTCCGAAGACCATCCCAAAGGTCTGCATGTTGTCGCGGTAGAGCTGAACCTGAGAGTCCCGGGCTTCAAGGCTTACCTGGACCCTGGTACCAGGGAACGGCTTCTACCAGGACCCTAAGGGAACCTCCATTTTTTTGGGCTCCTTATGCTGAGTTTCCTTGGATGAGTCCTTAAAAAAGGTAGGTTATTTGGGGTTAAGGTAGTTTAGGGCTTTGGGATCTTGCTTGCGGGGGGATTTGGATTTTAGGGCCTATTATAGGGTTTCGGGAGGTTAGTTTGGGTTTAGGTCTTCATGGTTGTAGGGTTTTCTGTTTTAAGGGTTGCTGATTATCGGAACTATAGAAGCCTGAAAGAGGCGATGGTTCTAACCCAATATAGGCTTAAACGTACAAGAAATGGGTAGTTGTCAAAATTATGTTGCCCATTTTGGTTTCGTATTCTATTAGGGACCCAAAAAGGCACCATAATTTCGACAACCACCCAAATCAAGAAGTCAGTTGGTCCTCAAGACTGGGAGATCTGTAGGTATCCTTGGGACCCTAATGTAAGCCCTAAGTGATAGGATAGTCACCATAACGACTCCCAATAAACACCAAAACTCCTGCCCAAGTCTGCTTCGTAGCAAGTTGCGAACACTACACCATAAATAAAGTTATCCGGCGTGAAAAGCGGTTCGAATGGGTAGAGCGAGAGTTGTTGAAATGCTGCGATGGGCCTCTGAAGGCCTCGGCTCGGACGACCAAGGTTTGCGACAGTTGTTTCTTTGTTTCGACACTGTTCTGGTAAGAGAGCTTGACATAATTTTGTGGTAAGGTCTGGTTAAGCCATGATTCAGGGAGCTTGCAAACGGGCTCTATGTTCTATTTCAGGGGTCTTGCTGACTCTTAGGCTGGGGACTTCCACGAGAGCCCAATAATTCAGTATCGAATCCCGCGGAGTCTCGGGTGTCCAGAGTACGTAGCAGTTGAACTAGCAGTTGAACTATAGATTAAGGGATCTACCTTGAATCAAAAAACCTACTTTGCCGGAAGGGCTACACCCTGGCTTTTTGGGGTCATACGACTTTGCGTTCGCAATGCCGGTGCGATTTTTTGCGGGGTGCCTTTTTATTGTTATAATACAATATGCCCCGAAACCCCACATGTAGGAAGTGTCAGAGACACTCCATCAAACCCCGGAGCCAGATGTCCCCAAACTGGCGCAAATCAAAATAGCCGACACAAGGCATGGTTCCCTATGAATTGTGTAATATGCATACCAGAGCCTTGCGGCCAAAACATCCTGAGCCCTCGGCACAGCTAAGCTGTCAGACCCTAGCTACACGTCAGGGGGCTCTTATATTCCTATATTCCTTAATTGCCTTAGTTGCGGCACAGAAGCATCTGGAGCTTCCGTTTTTATGTGTTTTGGGACAATAGCCTTCCCTAATCTGTAAGACTTACACTCTCTGCAAAAAGCTAACTCCAATCTCCTGCAACTTGGCGGCCAAGGTCGAGAGGAAGGTCTCCAGCCCTTGCAAGCCAGTGAAGCAGTAGTCCTGCTTGGAGGCCCAGGGGACTTAGTAAGTAGGTTATAAGTAGGGTTATAATTGGGGGTAACTCCATTTAGGGTACTTATAACCGTACATATAACCTACTTACTAAGTCCCCTGGGCCTCCAAGTGCGTGAGCTCGGACCCAAAGGGTTAAGGGCGTAGGATTCAGGCTTTCGGGTTGACATCTGACCCAACAAGATTAGGGTTTAGTTTGCAGAGTGTAGGGTTTAGGGCGCAGGGTTTAGAGTGTAGGCTTTAGGTTGTAGGATTGAGATCTGACTCAAACGGAGCATGAACCTACAAGGTATACACTGAGGCTGTACAGGGAATGTACGCGTACATGAGCCCTGAGGTTCATGTTGCTACCACAGCTCAAGAACCCACATGAATGTATCTATGTACATGCATACATACATGCGTACATAACATACACAACATACATACACATACACATGCAGCTACACGTACACGTACACATCCACACATACAAGTACATGTTCACGTGCATGTACACATGTGTACACAAAACCACATACAATCACAGGTCCATATACATATACATATACATCCACATCCCCACAGACATGCACGTGCACGTGCGCGCAAACATAAACGTGCACATACATACATACATGCATACATACATACTAAATATAAATATAAATATAAATATATATATATATATATATATACATATATATACATACATACATGCATACATACATACAGTGTCATTGACATACATACGTATGTATGTACGTACGTATGTTGTAAGAACACAAGAACACATGCATATGCATAGACAGATGCACATGCCTGCTTGTGTATGCAAGCATACGGCACGTGTGTAAACAGGTAGCACATGTAGGTATGTATGCATGTATGTGGTTTTGTTTGTTTGAATGCATGTCCGTATGCATGCATGCATGCATGCATGCATGCATGCATATGTATGTATGTACGTATGTATGTAGGCATTCATGCATGCAAGTAGGCATGTAGGTAGGCGAACAAAAAATGTGCACAAAGCGTAAACAAATAAACACACTCAAACACTGAAGCAGCTAAACCGATTCGTGCATATAATAAATACACATATCCACATACAAGACGCAGACATACATATACACAGGCATATAATAACATACACACATACTACACATGTCGGTATGCATTCACATGCATATGTAGCTCTTATATGCAGGAATTGCGACGGACGTTCTGTGAAGAGATGAAAACGGGACTTCACCAGCACGATGGCGACACGGCCGGGCAGACGATCCGCAAGACCAGGAACGAAGCATGAGCTCTGACAAACTATTACAAATCCTTTCAACTGCTACGAACTTGCAAGATCCTCCGGAACCTGAATCCTTGGCCCACCAACAAGCCTGCAGGTCGGAGAAGTTCCTTAAACGCAAGCAAATGCCACCCCTATCAGTGCGTCTCCATAACTAACGAAATCGTTGTATGTAAATGTATGTGTATATCTACGTATACTTTTTGTTGACATGTAGACAACTAAACAGATCGATAGATAGATAGATGGATAGACAGGTAGACAGATAGATACTTATGATACCTACGTCAATATCACACATAAACTGAATCTTTCAAAAAGAACAGCATATGTATGTATGTATGTATGTATGTATCTATATATATATATATATATAACCTGAATGTTGTGTATATATATATATGTATATACATG